GCCGAAGAAGCAGGTCACGACCATCAGACAGAAGGTTAGCGCGTTGGCGGCGTTGACGAGGTAGGGCTTCTCTGCGCCCCCGGCGCCGAGCGAATTCATGGCGCCCCAGATGCCGGGGGCGAGGAAGTTGCAGATACCCAGGATGAGGGCGTTGTAGAAGGTTGAGCGGTACCATTTGACTATTTTGTTAGAGACGACAAGCTGCTAGAGGAGTGGCTTACCAGGATGCCTCTTTGGTTCTGGCGATGGGCTGCGAGCAACCTCTTCGTCCGTGGGACGGATTTCTTTCTCAAGTGCGGTCATGTTGATGTTCTATGGGTTTCAGACGATGTTCGACCGTACACGCAGTATGGTATTGCTTTATATGTCTAGTGTGCGATGGCGATATCGCAAGTCCTCAATGCAGAATGTGTCCCTTCAGCAAACCGTGTAGAGCTACTATGACACAGACAATTTACACAATTCCATAAATCAGTAGATATCAGTTGCGTCAACAGTTCTTCATGGCCAATTATCTGACCTCAGAGATCGAAGTAATGTTGTCTTTGGTGAGGCGGATTACGTGCTCGCACGGCATTTTAGGAGGGATGATCAATATGAGGGGAGCGCACTCCCCGTTAGAATTGTTTTATCCTATGATTGAATCCTTTAAAGTGAAAATTACGAGGCTGCGTCTAACTCCTTACTTCGCATTGCATGCCGGAGGGTGGCTACACCCTGGTCCAAACCTAGTTCACTTGAGTTTGTCCAGTTAAACTTACGCTTCAAGATCTGGAACAGTACAATGATAAATCGCATTTCAAATAAGGCCACAAGAACAAATAGATGAATACAGCATGAATCTCCTTGCCTAAGGATTGGACGAGACTACGACAGCTACTCCCGATCCTCCGGATGAAACACCAACGCCCGAACCTCGATACTCTCCCTCGGCGCCTCTCCCTCCGTCGCCGGATCCACAAACGCAGAATGAGGCACCCTCCTCGCCCGCCCATCCGTCTTGGAATCAAAGCACTTGATCAGCGTCACCAGCTCTGGAGGCTGCGCGTACCGGAAGTACCACTTGAAGCCCGGATTCGGTCGCACCCCGTACGTCTCGCCCACCCGGTTCGGGTAGATGAGTTTGGTCGGGACGAGGTCATCGTCCGGGACGGAGTGCGCGTCTGCGACTGCTAGCGGATCCTTGAGGATCGTCCGGATCGGCCGCCAGACGTTGATGATCTGATACCGGCCCTTGAGCAGTTCGGGGGCTTCGTCGGGGAGGTGGTAGGAAACGCGGTCTTTGCTTGCGGAGTAGGACTGGTCGATGTGGACGCGCTGGACGGGACCGCGGAGTTGGGCGGCGAGAGTGCGTTCGTCTTTGGGTTTGCGGCGGATCGTATGGTCGAAGATGAAGATTTTGGATGCGCCGGTGCTGGTTAGTCATGTCAGTCAGTGTATATCGGGGGGAGGACGGCATTCACTCACGCATCTTTGAGCAGCTGCTCTACCTCGGGGTAATATTCGGCTTTGATCTTCTCGTCGTCGACAAAGTCCTTCTCCTTGCTTTCGTGGTAGTAGAACTGGAACCCGTTCTTGTCCAGTGTGTACTCCAGCTCGTGGCCGCTGACGTCGTGGATGGTAACAGGCAGCGTCACTGCAGGCCGGTCGTAGGTCTCTGGCTTGCCGACGTAAGTCGGAGGTGGAGGAGAGCCATCCTCGTTCTCTTTCAGGAAATTAAGAGTGGTCTGCACATGATGTGGTGTATTTGCAGTTGGAAGGAGAGACTTTCTTTGAATTTGAGGCTCATGGGTAGTTGGGAGTTGAACAGCTGCCGATGCCATGTCGATGTCTTTCGATGGTGATTGCTTCTGAATTTGATCGATAGTGATGGTATCAATCGGCCATTGCATTGAACTGGTCTTATATCACCAAGTTCTCTTGCGGGGTAGGCATTTGTCAGATCAGCACGCCATGGCTGCGAGTCGAGCATCATCTTAGAAAGCATCAGATGCTGAGAAATAGGAAATACGGTGATTGGACCTGGCAAACCCTGTGATTGATGTCTTGCTTTTCAGGATGCTGTACATCATCAAAACAACATGTGATGCTCGCAGATGGCAAATGAAAGCCGACCAATGCATTTATAATGTAGCCAGTGTATTTCTAATCAGGCCGTCTTAGGCTATGCTTCACGGTTTCTTGTTGCCAGCCTAACTGCAGACAGGACAGTTCCTACTGACCTACATCTATCGTTTTGTTGTCCTCGTACTGAATCTATCGCAGGCAGATCGCCCATATTCTGTGCTAGTGACAGGATGTGGTCCAACTTTGGAAAAAAAGAGATATGTCTATTACAGCTGCAGGTCTAGCCAAATGAACCCAAAATAATGTAATTCATTGATAAAGCTAGAGAATATATGACGGTACAAGCTTGGTAATACTGGTCCCATCATCCAGCACATCCACCTCTTCTTCCAGTCTGTATCCTCCCCACCGTGGAAGTAGAACGGTCCAGATATACCAATAAATCACCCCAAAGAGCAGACTGTATCTGTCAGCCAATCCCTCGAACAGGAGGACACACTTACATTCCGACACCCACGACTGCGTACGTTGCGTAGAAAAAGTCCACATCACCCTTTCTGTCCGGAGGAGGTATAAACGGTGCTGCCAGTAAAGCAAGACAGACGATAATTCGGAGCCAGACCGCAGGAAGCCATGCTTTGAATGGTCGAGGCAAATTAGGTTGACGTCGCCTCAAGATCAACAAGCCAACTGCAATAGCCAAGGCGAAGATCTGGCCTGGATACCCCTCGACATCTAGAATAAAACTGTACACATCTCCTGGAGGGGGAAGTATAATCACCAAGAGCGAAGGGATATAATGCACAATCAAACCGCCCAACGGAGAGTTGAACGGGCGAGATGATGATAGCGTGGACGAGAAAGGGAGAAAGCCCTGTCGAGCAATCTCCTGATTTACTCGTGCCTGTCACCGTCATCTACTATACTTTCGAGTTATCGAGTCAACTTACCCAGGCAAAGGTGACCACCATAACATTCCCTGCGGCGGAAATGGCAATCGCCAGAGGAAACAAGGTCCTGCCAACATGGGGCCCGAAAACGCGTTCGAACAGGAGCGCCCCGACAAGCTCGCCGCTGTTCTTGATCTCCTCGATTGGGACGACGAGAAAGTAGGAGATGTTTGCCAGCAGGTAAAGACAACAAGCAGTAACGAGAGCGGAGGGGCAAACGGATTTGACCGTCCGGATCGGGTCCTGGACCTCGTTGAGGACGTTGTTCACATTACTCAGCCCAGCATACGAGTAGAACACTTTGAAAAGGGAAGTTGATAGCAAGCTCCAGCTCCAGTTTGACCCTTCCCACAGATTGTCCCACAGAAAGACGTCGTACCCTGCCCTGTCCGCATCATTCGACACGGACGTGGAGTGTTCCTCACGACGAAAGAGTATCACCCAGAGCCCTGTCAGTGTCATCGCTGCAATCATGAAGATCTTCGTCCATCCCAGCACGTTCTGTATCCATATGCCGGTTTTCAGAAAGCACCCGTGCACAATGGTAATCGCGGTCATAAGACCCGCCGCCAGAGCCTTTTGCTGGTACTCCGTCGGCTCAGCGCTCAGAGCGAACAGGGTGTACTTGGAGAATATAATGCAGTTGCTTGCAGTAAAACCTAACAAAACCGCCTGAACGGCAATCAACGTTGACGCCAGGAACCGAGGACGCCGATAGGTATACTCGAGATAGACCTTGTCGCCACCAGACCGAGGGAGCATACAGCCAAACTCCATCGAGACAGCCAGGCCGCATGCTGCCAGAATCGTCCCCACGAGCCATACCAGGAGCGCCAGCCCGACGCTTCCCACCGACTTCACGATTGAGCCTGGGGTTGCGAAGATGCCACTGCCGATGACGCGCGATATAACCAGGATATAGGCGCTCGTCCATGTGAGGTTACGGCCGTAGGGGGCAGTCTCGGGGATTGTGCTGCGGGTAAAAACAGGACGCCCATTTGTCCTGATGTCCTGCATAGACTCGTAGGAAAGAGTTTCATACAGAGCAGACGTGGGGTATAAGAGTGGTTGATTTTCAGAATCATCCATTTTGTACACTTTAGCAGAGTGTGGGACTTCATCATATCTATCCCATGCAAACCATCACCTTTGATAGTCCACCTGAGCTACATATAAACACTCTGGTGTAACATCCTTCTAGGCACGCCATTGTTGGCCGCGCTTGTGAACAGCTCAAGTATTAATAATGCTGATCTGACCGCGGCATCCCTGCAAATGCAACCATAACCATAGACTCTTCTTGTGGCAGATAACAGATTTAGAGGGAGACTGTATGCCTTGCTACAAAGTTCATCTTGTGTCCACAGTATTTAGTAGACATATGCCAACCATGATGCCGTCGAGGAAATTCTCTGAACCTGCCAAACAGCATTTGCAAATTTGAATTTTGTGTTTTGTGCATACGTCCTGATTTTCTGGGTCTAACGCTATCAGCGCCATCATCAGCCCTAATCACATCATCGCGGTCTTTGCAGATGATGGAGAAACCGTATTCCTGAAGCTGCGATAAGAGTCAACCGACCCCATAGCGACGAGCTCGATGGCGAGGACAGTATTATAATGGCGAAACCACTTTTTGATCCACCAGGACAAACCACAAGAGCATCCTCTCCCTGGATAAACTGAACATCAGTGGTTGAGATGATAAACCTTGTCTCCTGAACCACTGTTGCGCCTTTATCACGCCATCATAACCCCGCCATGCGCCATATGGGGAACTTTCTTGGAGAGCAATGAGACACGACACTGTACTCGAGGATAGTTGCGAAGCCAGGAATCCAATACCCGATGGGGAAAACAGCAGATAATATTTGGTCAACGTGTAAGCGCACGGCGTCGTAGTGGTGTCCCGATATCCATACTATTTATCGACAACAACCTCGACTCTACGCCACAACAGGAGAATCCTTGTTCCCCGACAAAATGTCCACAGTATCAACTTATGTCCGAGTCAGTAGCCTGGAAGAGCCGCTCTTCCATCACCATTTGTCTGTTGCGAAGACACCAGAGCCTACAACAACCCATCGATCCGGCATTGCATCAGCTACCAAACAACATAAAAAGACGAAACAGAGCGCGCTGTTATTGAAGGGCATAGGGGAGCCATATACACTTGTGGCAGATCATGACGTCCCTACAGTATCGCACAAAGACGAGATCTTAGTCAAGGTACTAATGCAACTGGATTTCATTGGATGTTCTAACGTCTATAGATCATGGCTATTGGATTGAATCCCATCGACTGGAAAGGACCGTAGGTATCCATTCCCACCAAGAGGTCGCTTCTGACATTCCAGTGCATACAACTTTGGGATCCCAACCCTCCCATGGATCAACGGGCGTGACCTAGTCGGAGAGGTCATCCAGGTGTCTTACGGTTGTTCCCGTCTTCGAGTCGGTGATATCGTCCTCGTTCCGTCCACAGACTACAGGGATATACGGAAGGCTGCCTTTCAAGAATATGCCGTGGCCACCCATTTCAACGCTGCCCGCATTCCGCCGACGGGGAATATACAAGCCTCTGCGTCTTTGGGGGTGGCCTTCGTTGCAGCTGCTCTAGCACTGGGTGTCTCATTCGGATTGGATTTTGACCATATTCGGAGATGTCCTGGACCAGATCTCCCCGGAACTCTCCTACAAATCGACCGCCAGGAACTTCCGACAGATATAACGGATGAGTGCTTTCGATCATCTTCGAACGCGGAACGAACAACGCCAGGGGACTGGCTTGTAATCTGGGGAGGTGAGCTGACACCATCTCGCTGATGGCGCTAGGCTAATAAAGTCAGCATCCACAACGACGGGTTATATCACTCTCCAACTTGCCAAACTTGCGGGACTGAGAGTCATTTGTGTGGCCGATGTAGCTCGGCACGGCGCCAAACTTCTCGATGCTGGAGCAGACCTACTCGTTGATCGCCACGACACCGCAAGAGCAGTGGACATCATCCGCGGCGTAACCAGAAAAAAGCTGAGATATGCTATTGATATCGTGGGCAAGGACACGGCCACTCTATTGCAGCAGACACTTGATGCTACCGTGCACGATGATGGCTCACATGCGCATCTGCTGGGGTTGACTGGGTTACCCAAAGAGAGAGACAGCAGCATTATTTATCACACAGTCCCAATTAAACTGTTCCATAGCTCTCCTGCAGTGGGAGAGGCTATGGTGACTTGGCTTGAGGAGCTGCTACGAACGGAGACACTTCGATTGCCGGAGATTATACTGGCAGAAGGAGGACTTGAAGGTGTCAACGCCTCGTTGGAGGACTTGAGACAGGGAAAGGCGTCTGGCAAGAGGATTGTCACGAATTTAGGACGGTAGTCAACATTGTATGCACTTATAGAGAGCAATTCCCAATAGAATTCAAGACTACAATAGACATTGGTATTCGGCTGTTCCGTATACCAGGCTTCTCATTACCAATCTCTTGACACGGCAGAACCACCTACCGGACTCTTTGGGGGATCAAATTTTCTGAAAAAAATACTCCAAGTCACGTTAGGGTTTCGTTTTCTCATTTGCAATTTCTTTACAATTAACGCCAAGTGTTGCGCAATTTCATCTCCTGGGCACGAATCCACCGCCCACTAACACCGTCGAGAGCAGGCTCAGTCCTGTCTTCCCTTTACAAGGCAACGTTGGCAGATCAGAGGGGTACCAGACAGGATATGCCCCTCACAATCCTTCGTTGATGGATTGTTATGAGGGGTAAGTATCAGTAGCTGTGCGGGTCTAATCCCGTGCTATGTTTGACTATACAAAACCAGAAATATATCTACCCAGTGCGACCACGAAGAGTTACACAACTGATCCAAATCCAATCCAGCATTCTCTGATTATTCCTTCAATCAACCTCCGTAGTGCAACATGGGCTCAGCACAGAAAAAGCAACTCATCATCAATGCGTTTGCCATGCAATCGCCCTCTCATCTTAACCCCGGCCTCCATCGGTACCCCTCCGACCAAGGACCCAACTACAAGTCCATCAAACACTGGATCGCCCTGGCACAAAAACTGGAAGCAGCCAAGTTCCACGCCATCTTCTTCGCCGACGTGCTAGGCGGCTACGATGTCTATAAAGGTCCCGCCAACCTCGAACCAACCATCCCAGCCGGCGCACAATTCCCCATCAATGACCCGCTATACAGCGTTTCGGCCATGGCGGCCGCAACGGAGAGTATCGGGTTCGGCATCACCGCGTCGACGACATACGACGCGCCCTACGCCCTTGCGCGGCGGTTCTCCACTGTCGATCATCTAAGCAACGGGCGCGTGGGATGGAACATCGTCACCTCGTACCTCGACTCTGCGGCGCGGAACTTTGGTCTCAACACGCAGGTGGAGCATGACGAGCGGTATCGCATCGCGAATGAGTATCTGGACGTTACTTACAAGCTGTGGGAGGGATCGTGGCGGGATGGAGCCGTCAACCAGAAAGATGGCGTGGCGGGATACGCGGACCCCAAGGCTGTGAGACAGATCCATCACCAGGGCAAGTATTTCAATGTTCCAGGCCCGCATCTCTGCGAGCCGAGTCCGCAGCGCACGCCGTTTCTGTTGCAGGCTGGGACTTCGTCGGCGGGTAAGGCGTTTGCGGCTAAACATGCCGAGGCGATCTTTCTGAATGGCCAGACGCCAGAGTTGGTCAGGGCGTCGGTGGATAGTATTCGCTCGCAGGCGAAGGAGCTTGGACGAGACCCCGCTCTGATCAAAATCATCGCCGGGTTGCTGGTCATTGTGGCCGAGACGGATGAAGCAGCGCAGGCCAAGTTTGAGGAGCTGGCTAGCTATGGTGACACAGAGGGTGCCCTGGCGCTCTTTGGTGGGTGGTCGGGTTACGACCTGTCCAAGTATGAGGATGACCAGGACTTTCGCTTTGTCGAGCAGCCCGCCATCCGTAGCATGGTCAACCACTGGGCCAGTACCGTTCCCGGAACGGACGGTAAAAAGTGGGACAAGAAGACTATTGCCGAGTATCTGCGTCTTGGAGGAAATGGAGCCAAGGTGATCGGAAGCGCGCAGACGGTTGCCGATGAACTGGAACGATGGGTGGAAGTTGCTGATGTGGACGGGTTCAACTTCAGCTATGCTACCATTCCCGGGACATTTGACGATATCATCGAGTATCTACTGCCTGAACTACGCCGACGGGGACTATTCTGGGAGGATTACGCCGTCAAGGGGGGGACATTGCGCGAGAACATGTATGGTCTGAAGGGTCAGAACCGACTGCTAGAGACGCATCCAGGAGCCAAGTACTTCTGGAGAGAGGGAGAGGAAGTTCCTGCATATGCAAGAGACGGACAATGAGTAGTGTATATTGCTTGATCGATATTATAACAGAAGGAAACCTCAACGGTACAACAAGAGTATATCAATATATCTACAACGCGTATCTACTGCAGAGCAATATAACAATGAATCAAACATCCCACCAACCCTCAAGATACGACCGAAGATCAATCGTCTCTGGCTTCTGCAGATGCGGCGTCAGATCAGCCCCACTGTCCAATTCTCGCTGCCTCCATCCGTTGCCAAAATAAGCAAATCGATTTCCACTGGGGTTGGTGTAGGTATACTCCCAGTCCTCCCATCGGGGGTCACGGCGGATGTAGTTGAGATGCGCTGCACTCCCGGGGAATAAACCATGAATTCTCCCTCCAGGTCGACCACCATTATACCATGAGCTACAGTTGTCGCTCCACACCGTCCGCGGATAGAACCGATCGCAGTACTCGATAAAGTCGTCCGTGGCCGCTTTGGAAGGCTGCATTGTCTGTATGCCCTGGCTGCGGATCTTGCGCAGGAATTTGGCAACATAAGTGACCAGATTCTCGATGCTATTAGGGACACTACCGCTGTGTCCGGTGGAATGGGGACCTCCAATCCAGAAGAGATTGGGAAAGCCCGGTGTTGCAACACCAAGATAGTTGTATGGATGACCGTACAATCCGTCCGGTTTCCATGCGCTTTTCAGATCGATGCCATTCGCTATGATGCTGAAGGGAGGAGCGTGATCGACGTTGGCTCCTGTAGCGCAGATGACGACGTCGGCCTCGCGTTCCGTTCCATCTTCTGTTACAATTCCCTTGCTTGTGAACTTCTTTATGCGTGTCTGGATATAGTTGACATTGTCCTTTGTGAGAGCCTCCAGATAACCTGGTCCCGGCGTGGGACGACGACAGTTCGGTGGAAAGTCGGGGATAATCTTCTCTCCTAGCTCAGGTTTGTTGCCCACACGTTGCAGCATCAAGTTTGTCCATTTCTCACGCAGGTCCTTATTCTCGGGGGAGTCTTTGAAGATGGCTCCGAAACGGGAGAAGTAGCCCTGCTCGACACTCTTGCGGTATTTCAGATACTTCTCGGGGTCCTTGAAAGACTCCAGCTGCTCCGTAGAGAATAGATTGGGCTCTAGTCGTCGAACACCCGTAGTTCCAAACGAATCTGCAATCCAAGTGCGGTTCCTGGCGTAGTGATCCACGTGTGCTGCGACGGGCTGGATGGAGGGGAGCACCTGCAGCCCAGATGCTCCGTTGCCAATCAGTGCGACCCTTTTGCCCTTTAAGTCGACGTTGTGATTCCAGTTGGAGGAATGGAACAGGTCGCCTTGGTAGTCATTGATGCCCTCATAGTCGGGCAGTCTCCATGCATTGAAGTGACCGATGGCATTGATCACGACGTCGAGCTTCTCCTCGTAGACCTAGGTATGTTAGTCGTGTTCATTTACTACAAAAAGATAAAATACCTTTTCACTCTCTAAATCCTTCAGTGTAACCTCCCATTTGGCTTCTTCGGGCAGCCATTCGACCTTTTGCACCTTCTGCCGTGGGCGGAGATATTTGTAGACATCATACTTACGAGCGACCCGCTGCCAATACTCGCGAATCTCATGACCCTGAGCAAATTCTTCCGTCCATTGCGTGTTGGGCTCGAATCCGGATTGATAGACATGCGCAGGGATATCGCATCTCACGCCGGGATACGTGTTCTCAAACCTGACGAGGTCAGTTACGCTCCAAATGCTCCTCCAGTGTCTTACCATGTGCCTCCCACATCGGCATTCTTGTCGTAGATCCTCAGGTCCAGCCCGGGCAGCTTAGCAGGTAGCAATACTCCCGCTGTAATACCTGATAACCCGGCTCCAATTACCCCGACTTTGATCTGTCGACCCTCGTCGATGGGATGTTCCTCGAGCTCAAATGCCGGCTTTGTCGGTGGATGCGGTTCGCTGACTTCGGCAGCCTTTACCTGAGTGATAATTCCATTTTTATCGGCCAGGATTCCGTTCTGCAAGAGCGCCTCGGTAGCAATGGGGCCTTTCGTCGTTGACATTGTGGCTGTCTCGATCGATGGAGTATTCCGCCACTGCCCAAGCAGCTTCTATATATCTACCGTCCGTTGATCTTTACTTAAATAAACATATCAACATCTCACAACCTAATGATGCACGCCATAGACCATGGAATTGCGTTGATCAGCTCCGAATGGCCTGATTCGGCCGTCTGCTGAGGAGCTTCGCTGTTGTTGGTGCGGGACCATCCGACAGAAGTCACATCATTGCGGGACAGAATGGTGTCACAGTATTTTGCATCAGATACAGCGTTTAATTCATGGAAAATACATTAACCTGTCCGTTCAAATACAGAGATAAAATTGCAAATGATGTCTGACTATTAAAGGTGGCCGTGATCATAAAAAGTTGGCCCCAGTTTAGGCCAGCTGAATCCCCTGATCAAATCGCTTCCACATCCCATCAATCAACTCATGTCTCCTCACAGCCCAGTCGAATGTAGGATACCACTCCCCTTTACGATATGCCTCATACAGTCGCGCGATATTTTGGGCAGGTATCGGCAGAGAATCCCATTCGTCTCCGTCCACTTTGACCTCTTCGACATGCCCAGACTCAGTACGATAAAGCTCCAACTTGGTTTCTGGCGTGCCGACATTGAGGAATGCCATTGGCGAAGTCAGTCGCAGCCAGCCTTTCTCCCCTTGAATGCGCCAGTCCTGTCGCGGCAGGCCCGGCATTTCCTTCCCTGCGTGAAGGTTAATGGTGACGAACGCATCCGACGTCTCTGCTGTGCCGTGCATTAGAATCTGATCTGGAACGGTGTTGCGCACTGCTTTCTCCAGAACCTTGCCGCCGTCCGCGTAATCGACAATGTCCAGCTGCGGACGGCTGATGGCACAGCTGCTGGTGAAGGTTTGGAATTTGCCTAGGACTGTCTACGGTCAGAATGTTACATGTCGCCGATGTAGGGTGACATACCGGAAATCACAGATTCCAGGATATGGCCGACATGAATACTCATCACGTTTCCTCCCACCGTTCTGTCCAGAAAGTATCGGACATTCTTACTTTCGGAGGCCACCTCATTGCCACCCGAGACTAGAAGGGTGCTGGACAAAACTCGGCCAATAGCTCCTTCGTGCACCAACTGACGCAGCTTGCGGACAACCGGTGAGTACGAAGCCTGTATTCCCACAATGGTCTTTGCGTCGTGAGCAGCTGCCAAAGCAGCCATTTCCTTTGCGACCTCTAGATTGCGGTCGAGAGGCCACTCCACAAAGACGGTTTTGCCGGCCTCCAGACTGGGACGCACTGTCTGGAAATGTCGGTCGACTCGGACAGAACAGACAACCAGGTCGATGTCGGGGTCATTGGCGAGGTCTTTCAAGTCAATGTCATCCAACAAACGCAGTGACGGATGCACACACCTTGTGGATTGCCGTACGCCTTGGTATCCTTTGGGAGATTGTACTTGTCAATAGCAGCCTGAGCTGACTGAACGGATGAGTTGAGCAATGCCGCGATAGTAAAATGCTCTGATCGTTGCAGAAAAGGGAGATGAGCACTTGCTGCCCAAGCTGTGCCCTCGTAGTCTGTGGCGCCAGATAGGCCAATCAGGCCAACGCGGATAGGAGACATTTCGGATTACTGTAGAGGTATAGGAGAGTGAATGGTGATGAATATTCGTAGAAGATAGAAAATGGGTATTTAAATACAGCAACAGCGGCTGGACATCACTCCGTTGGTGATTAGAAATACCATATGAAGTACTTGCATGAATTGGTAGTAACGTTGATTTGTAATACCATTCGACTTCTGACAGGGAATCAGATTATCAGCCATTCAACTGAACTAATATCCCACTTAATAATCCGATTCTCCATAAGGTTGACAGAGACACCTAACGAGTTATCTAAAAGCCATCGTTCAAGATTCTCTCTGGGAATCGTGGGACGTTCAATTACATCTCTCCACCTAGTGGCACCAACCTCCCAACCCTCACTTTGATTACAAATATCGTCAGAATTCTCCCGTCTCTCTATTCAGGGCTTGCAGCTCGGCGGGTGTTGGAAAAACTTGCTGGGTGTCGGTGAAAAGTAGGTCAGTGGGTGTCGAACTATGAATTAATTTCAAGGTGTATGACACCTGTTTAGCATATCATGCCTACCTATAATCTAAGATACCACTACCTCACTACTACAGTGGCATGTTAAATGTTTGAATCCAAGTATATTTACCGCTAGGCCTGATTAGGAAAATCTTTAATACTCTATCCACAGATTTAAATCTCTCGATACCTCTCTCAATAATACTAATATTATGGCACCTTAAAAAGAATTATCTCTATATATACATGAATGTATCTGTGAGATTCATAGTATTGGATAGAGTTATTAGATTTGAATCTGTATATAAAAAATTCTGGTTACCTAATCTAGCCTAGTAGTAAATACACTGGATTTATATTTTTGACATGCTACTGTACGGTTGTACCACTAGGTACCTTCCCCTCTCTGACTGCAAAGTGCAAATACTATGAAAGGTTTAATTTTGAATAGCATTAAGATTATATACCTTCCCTAACTACCCCTTAATATCTATAAATTCATGCTTATTATATACATAATATTAATAGAATATTAGTATATTCTAAGTTACTTTTAATTATGTATATGCAGAGTGTACATAAAGGGAAGAGAATATAGATAAGGTTAATAAGTATACATACATATATTCTACTGTAATGAGTATACTTCAGTGTATATATATACTAAAATAAAGTACTAAATAAAGAGATTAATTAAAATAAACTAGAATTTACTAATTTCCCTTAATATTATGCATATAAGAAGTATAAATATATAGATATTAAGGGGTAGTTAGGGAAGGTATATAATTTAAATTTGATGCTATTTAAAATCAAACCTTTCATAGTTGGTGTTCGCAGTTGGAGAGGGGAAGGTGCCTAGTGGTAGTAGTAGTAATCTATGACAGAATGTGACCGACACCTGTTGAGGTTGAATAGGTGTCGAAGTTGCACTAGGTTTGGCTGACACCCACTGAGCTTTTTTCGACACCCACTGAGCTGTGTCCCTCTCTATTCAGCAGCTCGACGACCTCAGCAGAGCCCGCGACAAGGTTCACAACTGGCGTCCGAATTATAATATTGAAAGGGGATATCTCTCATATATCGTGGCGGATTTGGTCCAATGTCAAATTGGTGCTCCTCACTGAAGCCGATGATATCTGCATTGGGGTGTACGCACAAAGGCTAGAAGCCAAATGAGAATCTCGAATAGCCAGAGATGTTCTCAGAGAAATACAAGCAAGAGGAAGGTGGGTAAGAAGAATGAGAACATAAACAGAACCATTCCCCCAAATACCAAGATCTCGCAACCTAGGCACAGGCCGTTCTGACCACCTTGCAGCCCTGTCGATTGATATTAGCATTGTATAATGTATGAGGGTGGATGCAGCAGTACGCACTCCGTATGCACCATGGGCAGTTCCTCATGTAGATTCCATTGTTTTGTTCTTCATGGTCCAAAGCCTCTCCCTCATCGTCGCGACCGAACAGCCACTGGACGGCATTATCGCCATCCTGTTCACTGGCATTTCTTAGTCCACGATGTGACAGACAGAAAGGGAGGCATAACCTACTTATCAGATTGGTAAAACTGATGCACCGGCTGCTGTCTGATAGCACCGTTGGAAATTGGTATGGTAGCAACGTGCAATTGGCCGGTTATTCGGCCTACCTCACGGAAGAAGGAGGCCATTGTGACGTATGCAGGGGTGGAACTTTTCAAATGCAACTGATATGTAGATATTGTAGTTTCTTCGAGGCCACGGTCGAGTTGAGGGTTCAGGGTATTGAAGGAGATAAAGGTTGAGAGAAGAAGGTATCTGAGTTGGAAGCAGCATCAACCTTATATAGTCGGGGCTTGTATTCACTTTCCCAGTTGGATCATATTCACAATCCGAGCGCTAGTTATCAGAGACGGATATCGCCATAGAAAACGCGCCCTTGACTCTCTGACTTCGGCAAGTTCCGTATGGAATCTGTGCTACAGGCTTTCCTCGAGCCATGTGTCTAGAAGGGTGGGCACGAACCGAGCTTGGGTCTATCATACTGAGCTATTCAAGACAAGGGACAATTTACTCCAATTCACCTGGGCCAACGAGCTGGAAATGGGATACACATCAATTGACATGTCTATAACTGACAAAATAACTGTCACAGATAGCTGGACCAGAGGATCAGACCCACAGAGGTTCTCAAATAGCAGGCGCAAAAAACTGGATGTTCTCGGAATCATCGCACGTCAAGGATAACTAGACTAGCACATTCCTTATATTAGGAGAAAGATAACGGACAGTACAGGGAAGCCACATCATAGTCCACCGGTATACGGTACAGTGACAGGACGTTTCACCCACATCGATGTCCCAAGTTCGAAGGGTATATATGGATCGATCGACGATAAACGTTGCTAAGTGAAGAGGCCCATTATCTACTAAAGCCAGGGTATAAGCCGCCATGATGGCTTGTCATCTTGGCACTGCAGTAGCTACGCGTCTACCTCAGGTGACTTCCACTCCGTCGACCAGGGAACGAACTGTAAGATTGGACATGTGCGTGATGGATGATTACATTGCATGACATCTAGGTGCACCTCATATGTCCTTCTGGAGCTTCGTCAGACCGACAGGGCTAACCCTGACACACAGAGAGGCAGGCAAGAGATCACGCAGATGTATGCTGCAGCAAACAGCGGACACGCCAATGAATGATATCCCCATCTACCCATAGCCTTGGCAACTTGGCACGCCTCAGACACAAATCGCCTAGTTGCTTGACTTGACAACTTCTGGCAATTATACGCGGCCCACGAAGCTTCCCATTGGCTCCAAAACTCGCCAATATCGGAGCAACACGAGTCTTGGGGCGCTATGGCTGGTTCGGCCACACCGACCCTCGTCAGCCCCTCAATAACCGAGGGGAAGGCCTTCATCTCATTGTGAAGGCTCCTCAGCCGCTTGCTTGGCTGAAGTTCCACCTTTCCTTTGTTGTGAGTGACCGCAAGCCGAAATGAATGTTACCTTTTCTCTACAAGGCTCTCTTCCCGCCATCGCCAACCATGTGACCGACGGGCTTCTATGGCCGATTCTTTTGATATTCAGGACTGTATCGGACATCCTCACTTCCCTGTTGCAAACTGTTGCAGCGACAGATATGTCTCGGATAGGAGGAAACCTGGTGGAGATTTCGGCCGTATCCACCATCATAGGCGCCCCCATAGCGGAAGCGCTGATTCACGGTCTCAAGGCGGCCTGCGGCATTGTCTGGGCTCCCATGAGCTGTTTCGGGCAAATTCACGTTATCAAAGCGTGTCTGTCTGCATCCGTGCCAGACTATTTGCGCGAATCGATGGGTCTCCGCAATCAGTTCGTCGATAATGCCCTCGGAGTCCTCCTGCCAGTGAACCGGTTCCGACGAGCGCGCAGCCGTATCGATTTCGGCGACGCGGGTGCCATCGAGGTCGTTCCACGCCGGCGCTGGATCGGTCGATGGGCCCTGAGGTGGATAGGAAGTACAAATGGCTGGCCGAATCTTGTCCCTCTCGTCTCCCTGCAACAGTGGAAGCGCCGGTTCGGCATGATGACAGCGCACGAGGCCACGCAAATGGATGCAATTACACGGATCAAGGCGTCGGAGTCGCACGATGACGTCTACTCAGCACACGCCATTTACACATTGGATAAAAATGCTCAGCTGGCGCTGGACACGGTCCCAGCGGCGGAGAGGGGATCGCCCATTGACATCTACCGTTTCATCCCCGACCAAGGAGGCCTTCCATCGCCCTGGAGGGACTGGTCCTGGCTTTTGCTTTCGCTGGTCAAGCTGATAGAGGTCTTTACACTTCGGAAAGTGGGTAGTCAAGGAGTCTGGGCGTGGACGATGGCAGGCTGGGCCCATGCCTTTGTTGCTGCTGTCCTCCTGCAGTTTACTGGTCTGGGCCGCGACAGTCCTTTCAAGCGGACAAGGCATCTGGTGGCAGGTATCCTACCGTCTCCGCTTCGTATGGGCGAGCAAGGAAAGATTGTCTTAGGGATCCCTGCCAACATACGGCGTCATACGCTGTGGCGGATCATGCTGGCGGTAGGGATTGCCGTCAACCTGGCGGGTTTGCTGGGGACTTTTATTCGACTGGATGGTGAGCCGACCGAAGCGCTGTACTTCTGGATAGGATTCCAGATTCTATGGCTTGTTATGCGGACCATTGTCTACTATTTTGCCGCAGGAGGAACAGCCATTCAGCAAGGAATCATGTTGTGCCGCCGGTGGAATGAGGCGCCACCAGAAGACCGGCAGCAGGTCTTGTTGCTTCTCAATGAGCTGGCAAGCCATCAAGCATCGACTCATCCGCGGGGATTCCATGCGTATCTGTTCGACTGCATGTCCTTTGAGCAGCTTCGCCAACTCTTTGTTCGTGTGGACTGGACATTGAGTCCAAAGCTTCCACCGTTTTCAGCTGAGATACGGCTGGACCGCATCGCCGTTCATGCTGTCACTGGTGATCCCATCATCCGGAGTGCCGTCTGGCAACAGGGAGTGGGTCTGGATAATTCTGAGCTGTACGACGCCTGCATTACGTTCGTCGACCTTTCATGCGGTGCCAAGCAGGGGTACTTGATTGCTGTCCCCTGCGTGCGAGTGTATTCCTGTCACTGCGGGAGTAAAGGTGGCCACGACCGTGGGAACAGTCACCCCGACTGCGGCAACATTGAGTGGTGGCATTTCTTCCCAGTCGATATACAGAACTGCATTGGTTCTCGTTGGCTAGTTGCACATGGCAAGAAAGGGGTCGGACCACTGGAGGCAGAGATTCTGGACGAAGACGAACTCGATCGGAGACTCTTTACCGGCTGGTGGAAGATTGGCATCACGGGGATCAGAGTCTTACGAAAGACATGGGAAGTCTCGGTGCAGGCTGCAGAGATCACATTGTCTTTTACACGGGGGATCGCCGAAGGGAATGATGACAATGAAATTAACGACCATAATGATGACAAATAACGACAATGATGATGATGATGATTGCCGACGACGGGATTCGGATTCCGATGATCGGAGTTATACATAAACGACTCGATGTCCCCTTAACCAGATTCATATACCAAAGAATGGATAGATATACTTTCAAGATGATCACTGGAATCTCCCATATTAATCTTCTGGTTCCTCCAGGGACATTAAATGACGCGTACACATTCTACGTGGATACATTAGGGCTGACTGCTGCTCCGGTCCCCCAGTTACAGAAAGACACAACTGCCTGGTAATTATATCGACTACTCTCTGGGGGACATATTGCTAAGTGGTCAGGTTTGATATCCCGCCGGATGGAAAGCAACAAATCCACATTGCATTCGGACAGAATGAACCGGATTCTCCCCGCCATCCCTGCCTTCGGGTAGGCTCGTTGGACGACCTGCAAAAGCTGCAGCAACGAATATACGATCACCATCTCCGAGGCGGCTCGGCTGCTCCTCTACAGGCGGATGCACCAGGTGAATGTTCCGGTGAGGATTAAACTGTGTGGATGGACGGTACTGGTACTGATCATAAGATTGTAGGGGAAAATGGGGTCGAATACCCAACGCGCTTCTTCGCGAGAGATTACGCAGGAAACCGTCTTGAGTTCAGTTTATAATTAGCAAAGATAGAAACTTTTGTTTGAGGCTTTGTCCCAGTTCTTTCCATCGTTTGCCAGTGTGTGAATACAAGAAGTGCGCCTGCCGCGTGACTCAGAATTGGTGTCACCAGCATTCGTGTTATCGGAAACACCCTGATCAGTAGTACACCTCATTTACAATTTGTGTAGTTACAACATATGCTCCCCTGGCCTTCCTGGCTTAACATTCATGGGTTGGAGTTAGAGTAGCTGGATAGATCAAGCCTGCCTAGTCAGCCTCGGTAGTGCACTGGAGAGTCCTGACTCCTGGTCCATAGAGAACAGTCCGGGGTTTGATAGATGCCGCTGTTTGATTGTTCTCTACAAGTGAAGGGGTGCTATAATCTCTATGAAGTGAGCTCGAGCGGATTCGAGGATTCTTGAGGATTGAAGATATACCGAAATAACATGATCATGACCTTCAGCAATCCTATACTAACTTTTCTGCAACAAACAAGCTCTGTTACATAATCCCCTCTGACGTTCGTTGCTAAAACTCCCATTTTTATGGTTCCAGTCATATGTCTTCCTGTGACTGGAGTCATTGCTGTCGGACTACTGTGCTTTTGGCCACCCTTTAGCAGACCATTGGGGACCCTCTTCCTTGCTTGGCTGCCAGTCTTTGCCTTTCCATTGTTGTCCACCAGGAGTTTCTTTCCAGCCTCCTCCTCCCCATCCGCCACCAGGAGTCTCCTTTGCCTTACTATCATCAGGCTTCCAGCCTCCTCCTCCC